GGGGGGGATGGGCATGGAGGGGGGCACTTGTGGGGATGAGCACTGGGTGTTATGTGGAAACTAATTTGACAATAAACTATTAAAATAAATAAATAAATAAATAAAACACTCACATCAGGAGGAAAAAAAAAAAGAAATATTGCGGGGGATGCAATTTTTGGCTGGCGAAAAGCCTAGTTACCAAATCAGCAGCTGGAAGGTGCCGCTGCTTTATCCCCAGCTTACCGGGCTGAGCCAGATTTTCCCGGAGCGCTCAGAAGCTAGAGTCTCTCTCTACAAACCTTTCTCTCTCCACCAGCCCCACACGGGGCAAAGCAGACGCTGCAGCACACAGACGTGAGAAGCAACATCTTCCAAGGACGGGTTCTGAGTTACTTCCCAGCAGCAAGCTGGGCACGTTGGGAGCCCGTGAACTGCCCTGGGCCCTGGGCAGCCCGTAGGGGCACCGAGGCGGCGAGCACCGGCTCTGGGGGGGCCCTGTCATGCCAGGCTGGGGAGAAGGAGGAGGAAGATTGGCCGGGGGAACAAGGAGGGTGGGCTTATGCTGAAGGTGTGTCTCCACTGATGCTTTTCCAGATTTCTTACCCTTCATGGCCCAAGCACAGGCAGAGAAGGGGCCAGAACTCTGGAGAGATAACGGAAGTTTTGAGAAGGAAGCGAGGCTCTGTTTGCCCCTCTTCAGACAATTTCATAAACACAGGAGGGCACATACCCCTTAAGAGTCAAAACAAGGGGCGCCTGGGGGCTCAGTCGGTTAAGCGTCCGACTTCGGCTCAGGTCACGATCTCACGGTTCGAGGGTTTGAGCCCCGCATCGGACTCTGAGCTGACAGCTCGGAGCCTGGAGCTGCTTCGGATTCTGTCTCCCTCTCTCTCCCTCTCTCTGTACCTCCCCCCCCTCACACACACAGTGTGCTCACACGTTCACCACTCTCTCTCTCACTCTCTCTCAAAAACAGATATTTGTTTTAAAAAAGAGTCAAAACAAAACCAGCAAAAACCCACACGCCGTCTGCCTCACTCACAGATTGTTTTCCATGACATCAAGCCATGTCTTTGCTCTTTTCACTCTGCATATGACCTAATTACGTCTATTTCATATAATTGTGTGGTTTATTTGGTACATGTTTTATTTGGCAGATCTGAATAAATTCTGGCTATAATCAATGCTTTTAAAGTCTCCTGTTCTGGGTTACCAGCCTCAGGAGGAAATGAGCCGTGGTACGCTCAGCGGCTACCTCGTCCCAAGCCAGTACGCGCTCCACATCCTGCACCTCATTCGCAGGAGGAACCGCAGAGGCATCTTTTATTCTTACCAGGACTGAAAGGAGAAGGCAGCAGTAGAGCATGTGACTAAATGCACAGATTTTGGGGTGAGATACATCTGGGTTCAAGTCCTGACTCTGCAACTTACTTAGCTGTGTGATGTTGGAGAAGGTGCTTAACCTTTCTGAGCTTTGATTTTCTTATCTGTAGAATAAGAATAAGAAAAAGCTATGCATGGGAGTTTTCCAAGACTACATATGGTGACGTGTGCCAAGCGCTACAGCCTTGATCCACAGCAGCCCTCAACATACAGTGACTCTTACGAAAGGGCGTGGCTTCCCTGTATTTTATCAAAATGGTATAAGAAATCTCAGGGTGCGGGGCACTTGGGGGGCTCAGTCAGTTAAGCGTCTGACTCTTTGTTTTGGCTCAGGTCATGATCTCGTGGTTCGTGAGTTTCGAGCCCTGCATCGGGCTCTGTGCTGTCAGTTTGGAACCTACTTGGGAGCCTCTCTCTCTCCCTCTCTCTCTGGCCCTCCTCTGCTTGTACTCTCTCTCAGAATAAATAAATAAACTTAAAAAAAAAAAAAAAGAAATCTCAGGGTGTGTTGTCTTCTTTTTGGGAAATCTGGGTCTTATATTACTCACAATTGAACTCGCAGGACCACAGTCAGTAATCCAAACATGAGGCCAGCTAGTAAACCGAGGTCCAGCCCCAGAATGATGGACGCTATGCACGTAAACACCCAGATAACCTAGGACAAAACGGAAATGGAAAGAACCTTGTTAATCTGTCAGGTACTGTCAGGGGAGACACTACCTGTAAAAACAAGACCAACTGTCCCATTTCAATGTGTTTTCTTTTTTTTTTTTTTTTAAATGTTTTTTTATTTATTTCTAGGAGAGAGAGAGAGAGACAGCATGAGCAGGTGAGGGTCAGAGAGAGAGGGAGTCACAGACTGAAACAGGCTCCAGGCTCTGAGCTGGCAGTCAGCACAGAGCCCGACGCGGGGCTCGAACCCACGAACCGCGAGATCATGACCTAAGCGAAAGTCGGATGCTTAACCGACTAAGCCACCCAGGCGCCCCTCAATGTGTTTTCTTTTTTAACTTAATGTTTGAATAGGGGATATATTAAAATGTTTCAAAATGGAAGTAATATTAAAAGGGTGTACGGTGAGAAAACTTGCTTCCAACCCTCTCCCCTCTTCACCCACCCAACACCCTCACTTGTGTTCACATTTCCATAGGTGTCTGTCTGCATGTACATGTGCGCACTTTTCACCAGTATTTTTTGCAAATACAAATATGATAGCATAGCATTATTTTCCCACCTTTAAGTTTTTAATTTTTAAAAAAATGCTTATTTACTTATTTTGAGAGAGAGAGAGAGAGAGAGAGAGAGAGAGTGAGCACAAGCAGGCTCAGCGCTGTCAGTGCAGAGCCCAGTGTGGGGCTCTATCCCACAAACAGTGAGATCATGACCTGAGCCAAAAGCAAGAGTTGGAGGCTTAGGGTGAGAGTTGTGGCTCAGTCAGTTAAGCGTCTGCCTGTAGCTGAGGTCATGATCTCACAGTCTGTGGGTTCGAGCCCCGCGTCGGGCTCTGTGCTGACAGCTCAGAGCCTGGAGCTGCTTTGGATTCTGTGTCTCCTTCTCTCTCTGCCCCTCCCCCGCTCATGATCTGTGTGTGTGTGTCTCTCTCTCAAAAATAAACATTATAAAAAAGAAAAAAGAAAAAAAGAAAAGAATTGGAGGCTCAACCACCCGAGCCACCCAGGCTCCCAGTTAGCTTCTGGTTTTCACGGTTCTTCAGAACAGTTGTGTAGGTTACTTTGGTCAGAATTAAACTCAGCAAGGGTTTTATATTCTGGTTTTGCTTTCTTTGTTCTGAGTTTTGTTTGTCCTTCTATATTACAGAGGGCTTTTTTTTTTTTTTTTTTTGATGTGTTTATTTGGTCTGGTGTTTGTTTGTATGGGATTCTTCCTAGACGGAGATACGTCTTCCCGGCACCACAGAACCTTCGCAAAGCTTGGTTCACCCGGCAGCCTTCACAGATTTGGCTTCTCCAGCCGCTACTCATCTCCACCCTGGGGTCCCACAGCGCAGGTGAGAGTCAGGAGAGAAGGGGACCTGATGATGCGGCAGGGAGTGCGTGAGAACCAAACATCTCAGGCAACGATGGGCGGCCGGTGACTTACGGCATCGATCTTATTCTGTGTCCACAGACGAGGAACATCACACACCTGCATAAACATCCCTTTCAGGTTGGCAATTACAACAGCTGCCAAGACCGACTGCGGGGAGAGACGGGGAAGGCTGTTAGTCGGGGGCCGGGTTCTCCAGGGGCCGAGTCCGCGGGGCGGGCGGTGAGGGGGGAGTACGCCATCAGGGCGCGGGGACGCAGGCTCGTACCTTCTGCAGGGGCTCCAGCAACTTCCCCAGGGCAACGATGGCGACCATCACAATCCCAGCCGAGATGATGCCGGCCACCTGAAAGACACCCCCCCCCGCCCCCGTCAGGCGGGTTCGCCGCCCCCTCTGCCCCCCAGCTTGCTGGGTGTGTGCAGGAGAGCCCGGTCGTGGGTGCGCCGGGCACCGCCCTGCGTCCCCCTGCGGCTCAGCGCTGTGGACAGAAACGAGAGTTATTGCCTAGAATCTGCACAACCGGGGGGAAAGCGGGGAACACAGGCGCGGTGGCCACGGCGGGGAAGTTAAGGAAAGCGCGGGCCCGGGCCTGCTGCGGGGAAGCCGGCCGGGCCCGGGTTCCCCACCGTTTCGGGGTCGCCCGGGGAACACGGACCTGCCCCTCCCCCAGCCGCAAGCCGGGAAGTCGCTGCGCGTCGCTGGAGCCGTGGCCGTGGCCGTGACCGCGGCCCCGGGACGCCTGGGCTCCCCTCGCCCACCCACGCGGAGCAGCCAACGCCCCCCTCCCACCCCTGCTCCCGGGCAGTCCCCCAGCCTGTCATGAGCCACCTGCCGCGTGAGCTGCGAAGGGAGACGGAGATGCGGGGCCAGAGAACACAGCCAGGCGCCCAGCTCCCGCCAAGGCGAGTGGCAGCTACCCGCCGATAAGCCGCCGCGTACGGGGACCCAGACAAATTCGGGTTGCTATATTAAAATCTAGGGATCCATTACATGTACTTACTCTATCGGGCTGGTTTGTGGGAAAGGCTGCAGATCTTATATCTAAGAACAAATTCAATCGCTAGAAAAGTAATTATTGTTACAAGTGAGGAGGTAATCGGAGCTGAGAGTAGTTTGTAATCAGAATCACTTTTTAGTGAGTCAGAAAGAACAGGTTGTGACGTTCAGCTCTTCTACGATCTGAGGACACGCTGCAGGCAGTTAGCCATCACTAACCCTCACCATTCCATCCTTCATTCAGAAAATACCTGCTGGGTGTTTCTTGTGCGTCAGGCACAATGTATGTATCACAGACACTACGATGCCTTTCCTATCATGAGGAGCTAATGACGGAAACAACTGCCGTTTATAGCAGTTTACAAACTTGGTTGTTGGTTTTTTTTTTTTTTTTTGAAAGTCCTCACAACATCCCTATATGAAGTGGATACAATGAATCCTCCCATTTTATAGATGCTGAAAACTGAGGCCCCAACATCAGAGAACACGTGAGAAGCCACACCACAAGGGAAGAGCTGCCAGTGTGTGTGTTCTTGGGTTCCTGGACTGTAGTCCAGCAACATAGACTTTTCTCCCCAAACTTAGTGTGCATTCCAGTAATTAAATATTAAGCCACGTCTGTGCTCGCCTCGTTCTTCACTACTGACATCCTGGCATCGTTCGTCCCTAAATAGAATACCTGCCAGTGTGTGGTGGTGGGTATCAGCTTACCAGAACACCATTATCCCCTAGCCGTCTGCCAAGGGATCGCTTTACGCGGGCATTCTTCCTGGGGCGGCCAGCCCGCGCCTCCCCTCCGGCTGGACGGCAACAGCAGGAGAGTGGACCTCACCGCCCGGGCACCTGCCCGCACCGGCGTGTGTCCACGGGAGCCTGTCAGCGCCCTGGCTCAGGTGAAGGCCGCAGGGACCCGAGTGCTGACAGCTGCCTGAACACGGGTGGGGGGGGGGGCAGCTCTGGAGTCTCCTCCCGCCTCTTGCCCTGGAACGCAGGGCGCAGCTCTGCCTCCTGGCACGGGCTGCACCGTCTTACCCCCTCTCCCTCAGAGCCAGAAGTGGTTGCAGCCCCAAGCGCCCCGAAAAAGGAAATTCGATTACCAAAAGCAAAATTCTAGGCCTGGGTGGCTCAGTCAGCTCAGGTCATGACCTTGTGGCTTGTGAGTTTGCGCTGCACCTCGAACTCGCTACTGTCAGCTCAGAGCTGAGCTCAGTTTGGCTCGGGTCGTGACCCTGCGGCTCAGGAGTTCGAGGCCCACCTCCGGCTCACTACTGTCAGCACAAAGCCTACTTCAGATCCTCTGCCCACTGCTTTTGCCCATCCCCCACATACGCTCCCTCAAATATAAATAAACATTAAAAAAAAATTCTGAAAATGAAAATTAAATTTTTATTGGAGCCAAGAAACTGGTAGAGGCCCATTCTTCCAACCCCGACCCAGAAACCCGTTATGAATGGAAAAGGAGCATCATGTGCGGCTGGGGGACGATTAAAGCCCCCCCTGAGCCACCGCAGGGAGTCACTAGTTTTCTCAGTCATTCTCTTTTGTGCTTACGGGTGTCTCTGCCTTCATAAAAGCCTGTTTCAAGACCGCGTGGGTTATAGTCCTGACTTTGGATTTGTTTTGCTTTATAGCCTCAATGCATTTAACCCTCAAATAGTGGCTCTGTGTGGGGAGGGGAAGGCCCCCCGGGCACGACAGAAACACCACTCCTGAGCCCCCGTCCGCTTGTTTGGGCCTGTCTGACCCCACGTCCTGCTAGAAAGGACATGGTTCTTTTGGTTTGAGAATGGTTCCTGTGCTTTCTGGCCTGTCGAAGGCAGGGTTGTTCAGAGATGAACTGGGATGTGGCATTTTGGGGTCATGTTCAGAGCCTCCGGAACACAAACTGCACTCCAGAAGAGATGCCGAAATGTGACGACAGTGCCCCTGGCCAACAAAGGCCCAGAGACCTCTGGAGGGAGTTCCCGATCCTTGTGAAGGAAATGTAAGTAGACGCTCCTGACTTTCCTGAAAACGCAGTACCCCCTAAGCTGTGACGTGCTTTCACCAGGCCTTCTTTATCCCCGGATAACAAATTGATACAAATCAGCGCTTGTCGTGACCGGTCCCTTGTCAGTTGTTTTCCGTCCCTGCAAGAGCAGGCAAGGGTAGCTCTCGGCCAGCTGAGTGGGGACGCGGGGAGACTAATTGGAGAATATGTGCATTACGGACCCACAAACGTGAGGAGGGTTCCGGTGAGGAGCTGGATGGAGTAGCCGGGCGAGCCCGGGGGATCGGCTGCGGAGGCCCACGCCCATGCGCTCCCGGCCGGGCCCGTCGCCCTGCTGGGTGGTGCTGCGAGCCCGGCTGGGCACCAGCTCCCAGGCTCACCCCTGCAGAGGACGCGCGCCACCACGCTGCTGTCCCATACCTGGGTCTTTCCGCCCGTGCTCTCCTGGACGGCAGTGCGGGACAGGGCCGTGGTGGCCACAAAGCAGGAGAAGAGTCCGGAGAAGATGTTGCTGATCCCGAAGGCGATGAATTCCTAAGGCAGAGACGGGGTGGCTGTGACGTCGCACATGGGACCCGCAAGCCCCTCGCCAGGCGCGTAAGGAAGGGTAGGCGGGAGAGCGACCTCCCCGGCCCTCCCTTGCGGTAGCCCCAACTTCACCTCTAGCACTAGGGGCACGTGGGGGTCTTGAAAGGCATTCAGGACTCGGGGGTCCACGGAGTCTCAGAGACCCCACCGCTCTCCATCATTGGTGAGGTTAGTAAGGAATAGTCACTGGTTACAATGCTGACTCCCCTTCCTGGGAGGTGGTGTATCTGTAAAGCATGGCTCTGTTCTCACAGAAAGCCCTTTCTTCAGCGGCTGTCTGTCTGCGGGGACGTGTGTGTGGCTAGGATGGCTCTTGCTGGGCCTGACCGCTCATCATTGTGCCGCCGTGACTGCTATGCTGTGTCTTCAAAAACAAACCACGCTTACAGATTTGGGAGCAGTCTAAAATCAGCTCCTTTCGCAATGAATGTAGCATAGACCTACGGAAGTGGTCCCGTCTGGGGGCGCCTGGGGGGCTCCGTCGGTTGAGTGTCCGACTTCAGCTCAGGTCATGATCTCACAGTTCATGGGTTCGAGCCCCGTGTTGGGCTCTGTGCGGACAGCTCAGGGCCTGGAGCTGCTTCAGATTCTGTGTCTCCCCGTCTCTCTGCCCCTCCCCTGCTCACGCTCTGTCTCTGTCTCTCAATAATAAATAAAAACATTGACATTTTTTAAAAAATAAAAACGGTTCTGCGTGTATCAGCTGCAGTGGGCCGCCTGAATTTAAAGTGGCCCCCACTCTCATCGATCGTGTTTGTTGCATTGTTTTGCATGTCATAGCTGCCATTAAATAAAATATATCAGGAGACCCTGGACTGGATGAAGAATTCTTATGCTGACTTAACGCATTAGCTTTGAATGTTATTTATGACCTGACTAAATGAACTCTTAAAATTCGGGTTACTTCAACTTCGTAAAAAGGGAAGAGATACAACATGCCTATTTCAAATCAATTTCAAATTAGCATGCTCCAGGGGGAAACCCTAGGTCACTAGGGGTAGCGAGAGGAGCCAACCTCTTCTTTGGCAGACAACGGAATCTACCCCACTTACGCTTTTTGCTTGTCTTCAGCCCTACAAACGTGGTTCTGCCCACGGGGTGCCGTACCTGGTTCCCATCGATGGTGTAATCATACTTGATGGCGTATACTTTTCCTACAGACACTGCAATAGCATAGGCCACGACGGCGATGGAAAATGAGGCAGTCAGCATCTCCGAAAACAAGCTCACAGGGGGAAGTACAGGAGGCAAAAACCTAGCGAGGTTTTAAGTGAAAGCTGCAGTGAAGATTGGACCACGATGCTCTGTTCCGACCTCGCCACGCGCTCTATCCGCCCCACCCCAAGTCAGACGGGAAAGTGCTTGATCCTGAGGGCAACAGCATGAGACAAGCATGTGGTAGCATTGCTTTTACAGTTTTTAATTAGAAATCGGTGCCATCTCACTGGCTGACTTCTTTGTCTCCTCTTTGAGAGCTTACAAACGCTGCATTATCCAGACCTCTGACATGAATAAACCTGTCATTATGGATTCTATAATATCATACTATCCCATGCCATGCCATTTCACACATTAGTGTTTCTCCTTACATAGTTTTATCTTAAAGATCTTTGAATTTAAAAGATTATCTGGCTATAAAATGAGATTTGTCCTGTATGAGGAGATGTCAAGTCTATTAAAGACACAAACAATATAAAATGATAAAAGAGCTGAGTAGAAAACCATATCTTGGGGTGCTCAGGTGCTTCAATCAGTTAAGTGTCCGATTCTTGATTTCAGCTCAGGCCATGACCAGGGTCATGGGATTGAGCCCCATATAGATAGGGCTCTGCGCTGAGCATGGAGCCTGCTCAAGATTCTCTCTCTCTCTCTCTCTCTCTCTCTCTCTCTCATTCTCTTTCTCTTCCTTAAAAAAAATTAAAGGAGTGCCCGGGTGGCTCAGTCAGTTGAGTGTCCAACTTTGGCTCAGGACATGATTTCACAGTTCGTGGGTTCAAGCCCCACACCAGGCTCTGTGCTGACAGCTCAGAGCCTGGAGCTGCTTGATACTCTGTGCCTCCCTCTCTCTCTGCCCCTCCCCCCTTCTTGCTCTATCTCTCTCAAAAATATTTTTAAATTAAATTTTAAAAATTTTACTTTAAGATTAAATTTAAAATTTAAAACATTAAAAAATCCAGATCTTAAGAGCTATGATATTTAAAATCTTCTTGAGTTCAGAAGATTAAATTTATTTAGTCATCAGAGTGTTTCATCATCACAATAACTAATCGCTTCTCGGCCTTTTGGCTAAGATCAAGTGTAGCATCATCACAATGACTAAGACTTCTCAGTGACTGTGAGGGTGGATACTACCGTTTGACAAACCAGAGCTATTCTACAAACCATGTAAAGAAATAAACCTAGAGGTGCCTGGCTAGCTCAGTCCATAGAGGATGCAACTCTTAATCTCAAGGTCATGAGTTCAAGCCATACGTTGGGCATAAAAGCCTATTCAAAAGGAAGGAAGGGGTGCACCTGGGTTAAGCCTCCGACTTTGGCTCAGGTTGTGATCTTGTGGTTTTTGAGTTCAAGCCCCACGCTCTGTGCCAGCAGCTCAGAGCCTGGAGCCTATTTCAGATTCCGTGTCTCCCTCTCTCTCTGCCCCTCCCCTGCTCATGTTCTGTCTCTGTCTCAAAAATAAATAAACACTAAAAATTAAATTTAAAAAAAGGAAGGAAGAAGGAAACAAAGAAACAAAGAAAGAAAAAAGAAAGCTACAAGTTTATAATTATACAGTTGTCCCCAAATATGAGTATTAGGAGAATGATTTCCGTGTAGCTATATCTCAATAACTATCCATAGAGTATATATCCAGAAGTCCCTAAGCCAAAAAACTTCAAAACAAAAAAACCCACTAAAACAATCTCCCTCACCTACCTCACTTACACCTGAGTTTCCTTTGAAAACATTTTTTAAGGTTATTTTTGAGACAGAAACAGACAGAGTATGAGCGAGGGAGCAGCATAGAGAGGGAGACACAATCAGAAGCAGGCTCAAGGCTCTGAGCCGTCAGCACAGAGCCCAACGTGGGGCTCGAACCCACGAGCCGTGAGATCATTACCTGAGCCAAAGTCAGATACTTAACTGACGGAGCCACCCAGGTGTCCCCTGAGTTCCCTTTAATAGGAAACTACAGGCCCCCCTCTAATTAGAGGGAAGCGCTAAAGAAGAAATGAGATTGTTATAGAAAACCATGGAAATTTAGAGCTAGCTAATATCCTAATATTACCGAAATTAATATCCTAATCTAATATCCTAGAAATTGTTGAATCTACCTCTCTCCTTTTGTTGTTAAGGGACCTGAGGCTCAGAAAAGTGAAGTGACTCGCTCGAGGTCATTCAGTAGGAGGCTCAGGCATCAAGGTTCATTTCCTATGTAACAAGATCTGTCTGGTTCTCTACCCCTGTAGTCTTTTTCTCCCTGCAGGTGAGGTTACTTGCAGACTCCTTGCCCCCACATCCCATGCTGACCCACATGTAGGCTTGGGAACGGATATCATACGTAGGAGGATGGGGCGTCAGACACCCCGATCCAGCCCTGGCGTGAGCCGGCATCACACCTCCACGTGCCTGGACATGAGCTTGGACCTCCCTTTTTAAAGCCAGTCTTCTGACTCCTGAGACTCAACCAGCCCTCCTTCGGGTAATTAGGTCTGTTATCCCTAAACCTTCAGTCCTGCAAAGAGTTCTGTTTTGATCTCAGCCTGAGCCCACCGCCTGCCTGGCTCCCTACTTCTCCAATTCCAGATCCTTCTACCAGGTCCTTGATTCCCCAAGGTCACAACGTGCAGAGGCTTGAAATCCAAGAACCTGAAAGCTGGCCCCATCACTCTGTAAGTAACTCTCTGACTTTGAGCATATTATTTAAACTTACCAAGTTCCAGTTTCTTTAGATGTCATATGGGGCCTAATACCCTTCTCATAGGGTTACTGGAACGAGTAAAGGCTGTATGGCACGTGTAAGTACTTAGTACCGACACACAAGACACCTGGGCTCACTGCCCTGACAGAGGGGCTCACAGTCCCTGGGGCCGGCTAGGTCAGCCTGGCCGACCAGCCACACCAGGCGGTCTCTCAGAGGAGTCGCCATGACTCAACCCAAGGGCCAAGGAGGCTAGAGATCCACTTCAGGAGAACAGTGATCAGGAAAGCTCTGGACAGGGCCAGAAAGAAGGACTGGGGGCGGCAAAAATGAGTTCTTCAAACCTACTCGTGGAACGTGGATTTGTGGCACAGGGCATTTGCTGTGGACAGCCTGTCAGTATTAACTCTTAGGAAGCCGGACAAAAAGGATCCATGAAATATGGCTTATGTAGTTGTTTATAACCATCCAATGGGATGAAAATGCCCTAAGGCCACAAATAGCCATATTACATCTTTTATCATGAAATTCCTCCCAGCATCAGGATTCGTTATCAAAATATTGATCATAAGAATCACTTGATGAAGCACCTTTGGAAAGTAATTTCAAAAAAATTGGGTGGTGGGAAGCACCTGTGTGGCTCAGTCAGTTAAGCGTTCAACTCTTGATTTCAGCTCAGGTCATGATCTCATGGTTTGTGGGTTTGAGTCCCACACTGAGCTCTGCACTTACAGCACAGAGGCTGCTTCGGATCCTCTGTCCCCTCTTTCTCTGCCCCTCCCCACTCATTCTCTCTCTCTCTCTTTTTCTCTCTCTCCTCTCTCTCAAAATAAATAATAAGAAAAGGAAGCTGGTCTATGGCCATACCACCCTGAACGCGCCGGATCTCATCTGATCTTGGAAGCTAAGCAGGGTCGGGCCTGGTTAGTACTTGGATGGGAGAAGGGGAAACTAGTTCTCTTTGCCTATCTAACAGTAAGACTGGTCATAATGGCTAGAAGTTGGTGTTTCCGGATCTAATAAATCTTTGGGCCTCTTTTTTAAGGCTGTATGATAAAATTACAGCACAGTGTACCTGGCCCATTCGGTACATCTTCTGAGAGATCTCAGCAGAGCAGAATAAGCTTGAGTTAGGAACTCAGCAGGTGTCATTGCCCTTCTTTATAGGAGCCCCCCCGCTCTCTGTCATCTATCTAGACGGTGACGGAAGTGGACAAAGGAACTCAGCTCTTTACTCTTCTAGTTCACCGAATTACCAACCATATAAAAAACGTCCCTTTCAAGATAATAAATTGTATTCATGGGAACAAGTGGCATAATTATTATTTAGGATTGATTAAACTAAATGGTAGAGAATTGAAGCCAGATGTCCCTTAATCCTTAAGCAGATTGTTCTTGGAGGAATAGCCGTTACTAACCCTTATTCTATTTATATCATATTATAATTCCACATGTGAGTTCAAATCAGGAGTCTGGTGGTAACCATACATGTCCTGTCATATTTTAAGAAAATAGAGAAAAGGACAGAGTGCATGGGAGCTGTTTTTAAACAAATGGCTTAAATTTTATCGACACACACACCGTTTGACAGTTTGCATGACTGGATGTTCCTTTAAGATCACACACAAAGAAGACTATTGAGGGAGCACCAATGAAATGAAGCTTATAATAAAAGGTTTCCTTTAAATAGAAAATTCTGACTTAATATATTAGTATTGCCTAAGAGGAAGTCCACACTCACCCCCTTGGGATGGATTTAACAATGCCAGCATTGTAACTTTTTTCCAGGTTGGCTCCATATGAAATGGCTGTAGCAATTATTGTCTGAAAACAAAACAAAAAGGCTTAAAAAAAATCCATGTTCTAACAACTCCTTTTTTATTATTTTTGGTCTCCCCTTTGGGAAGTCTGCCCTGTTGATTTCTTTTTTTTTTTTTTTTTTAATCCAAGTACAATTAACAGATGGTGTTATATTAGTTTCAGGTGTACAGCATAATGGTTCAACTTTTCTATACATTATTTTGTGGTATTCAAGGTAAGAGTGCTCTTGGGCGCCTGGGGGGCTCAGTTGGTTGAGCATCAGAGTTCAGCTCAGGTCATGATCTCACAGTCCATGAGTTCAAGCCCCATGTCTGGTTCTGTGCTGACGGCTCAGAGCCTGGAGCTGCTTTGGATTCTGTCTCCCTCTCTCTCTACACCTCCCCTGCATACACTCTCTCTCTTTCTCTCTCTCTCTCAAAAATAAACATTGAAAAAAAAGATAAGAGCGCTCTAAATCCCCTTCATCTATTTCACCCATCCCCCCACCCACCTCCCTTCTGGCAACCACCAGTTTGTTCTCAGTATTTAAGATTCCAGGGTTTTTTGGGGGTTTTTTGGGGTTTTTTTTGTCTTTTTCTTTGTTCACTTGTTTTGTTCCTTTTTTTAATTTTATTTATTTATTTTTTTTAATTTCTGAGAGAGAGAGAGAGAGACAGCGTGAGCAGGGGAGGGTCAGAGAGAGAGGGAGTCACAGACTCTGAAACAGGCTCCAGGCTCTGAGCTGAGCTGTCAGCACAGAGCCCGACGCGGGGCTCAAACCCACGAACCGCGAGATCATGACCTGAGCTGAAGTCGGACGCCCAACCGACTGAGCCACCCAGGTGCCCCTTGTTTTGTCTCTTAAATTCCACACAGTATCTGTCTTTCTTTGATGGACTTATTTCACTTAGCATTATACTCTCTAGCTCCATCTATGTTGTTGCAAAAGGCGAGATTTCATTCTTTTTTATGGCTCAGTAATGTCCCATTGTGATACATACATATATTACCATATATATATTACAATAACATATATATATCACAACTTCTTTCTTGTCAAACCAATTAATGCCAAATTTTCTAACTACATGTTTTACTTACCACAATTACTTCTATAGGAATAGGGACTGGAATTTTGTGCTTAAATCGATCATTTACTTCCTTAACTGCCATACAGATGATAATGGTGAGCAATCCAGCAATGAAATCAGCAAGATTGGTGTTGCCAATATTTTGAAAAATCTCAATCAGAGTCTGTAAAAAGAAAAGAATAATTTTATATTCTTCCCATGTGAAAAATCATATCATCATCAAAAACACTTAAGAATTTCACATAAAATCATAAAAATGTATTGGCTAACACAGGGACCATTAAAAACATCCAGTCTTTGCCATATATATATATATATATATACCACCAAGTTATTAGTGACAGTTAATTGGAGTCATAAAACCATGGGTGATATCTACCGTTTTATTTTTGTTTATCTGCATTTTTTTTACAATAAAATGAGTTATTTTAAAAGAAAAATATCTTATGTTGAATTTTGCTTGCAGAAAAGTTTTAATGTTCATTTACTTATTTTGAGAAAGAGAGAGAGAGAGAGAATCCCAAGCAGTCTCCATGCTCAGCAGGGAGCCTGACACAGGGCTCGATCTCACAAACCGTGAGATCATGACCTGAGCTGAAACCAAGAGTCGGACACTTAACTGAGGGAGCCACCCAGGTGCTCCACTTGCAGAAAAGTTTTCAAAGTTTATATCTTAAAGTGGTTTTACAGGGGCTATTAAGTGACCTAATTTCACAATGTTGATGTGGTATTATAGAGACTAAAAACTGATAAACCCAAAAGTCCCAATTAGCCAGTATTTTAGGTAAAACTCTTCCCAACCCTGAATTATATGGGTGGTAATAAAAATACCTAAATACTTCATATGTAGATACACAGGGACTGATCCATTCTTCATGGCAAAGAAAAGCTATAGAATTGATGTATAGTTCAAGTATAATTTTTTTTGGAAATTAATTTGGTACTTAGTTCAAACTTGAACTGAAATGACTTAAATAAAAACAACTCTTTCCAAGTGGACAGACAAGCCAACTCAGGGGAAAAAAAAAAAAAACCTAGTTAACTAGTTTTGTTTTGTAAATAGGAGGTTTCTGGGAATCTAGGAAGATTAACGAAGGAGAATCCCGAGGCAGAACACTAATACCTTTGTTCCAGCAGCTTCGGTTTTGTGGAAGGAATGACTTAGGAAGGTATTCTTTAATTCTTTGAGACAAAATATCTCAGTGAAGGTTACTTTTTTTGAATGAGTCCTTTTATAGATATATTTTATATGAAAATAAAGGAATGGACCATCTGATCATTTATAATGTATTTCGTACTTAATTTTATAGACAAGCTATATTTAAAATAATTATAATGACAATCCAGTAATGATTCTGTGTAACAAACATTAGGTGATCTACCAGTCATTTTGCCAGCAACTCCAACTCTCTGGAGAACATTCAAGAGTAAGGGAATGAGGGGAGGTGTTTTCATGCCAGCAAAATCCATCCTCCAAGTCCTTGAATGAGAGTTCAAGCAGGAAGCCCCTTGGACTTTCACTCAGAGTATTTTTGCTCTTGCTTTAAACCCAATACCAACAAAGTTACTTTGCCTTCCAGAGTCAGGGCAAATTGCTAGAGGCAGATACACTGACAGCAAATGAGGAAGCAGGTGATAGCAGGGTGCAAAAGAGAAAATGGAGAAGTGCCACAAGCAGACACAGTGACCCGGGAGTTTAGGGCATCTGTCCTAGAAGCAAATAGTCCTACGTGCCCCAGAGCCATGATGGTATTGCGTCTGGCCCTTCACATCATCAACTTTCCTTCTGTCGTCTTTTCTTATCAAGTTAGCTAACACCCAGTGTAGTCTTGCTTCAAGAGTAGAATCCAGTGACTCATCACTTACATACAACACCCAGTGCTCATCCCGTCAAGTGCCCTCCTCAATGCCCATCACTCATTTTCCCCAGCTCCCGCCCCCATCAGGCCTCCGTTTGTTCTCTGTATTTAAGAGTCTCCTGTGGTTTGCCTCTTTCTCTGTTTATATCTTACTTTTCATTCCCTTCCCCCGTGATCATCGGTTAAGTTTCTCAAATTTCACATCGTCATCAATTTCCTGATGACAAACCTCATTAACTCACAAGCTAGATACAATATTTCACTTAATTGTCTACACAGTAAAGGTTTACTTTCAACTCAAGAGGGGAAAATTCAAACTTGAAAACAATCAGATAACTATCCCAATCGTGAAAAAACATTTTCACCTTACAAAAATGATCACTTCAGGATCCCCATTTAGTCTACGGGAGTTACTCAGACCTTTGAATACAAAGCACCTCTAGTGTATTAAAAATGTAATATGAGTTGCAAACAACAAAACCAGCTTACATTATACAATTGCATTAAACAAGCATATAAATATATTAGTTGCATACATGAGTCATCTCTTACAAAAAATTCTTCAATAAAAAGTTTAGTCTATGTGGAAATAAAATTTACCCATATAAACTGAAGTAGTCAGATTGCATTCAAAAATAATAGAAATGAGACTCTAAGAAAGTACTAAAAATTAATTCTAATTTAGATTACTATTAAAATACCTACTAAAATATATTTAAAATGTGAAGACACATATGAATCCATAGTTCAACCTAATATTCTGAAAAGTTCAAATCATAATAATGATCGTTTCAGTGATGGAAAATATTTTACTATATTTCCCCATGCTTGGAGAATTTTAGGACCATTTCACTTAGATAATTTCTTCCTTCTTTGCCTAGCATTACCTGGAGGTAGGAAGCCACAAGAAAAAAAATAGATACCTGATATTACATATGAGGAAGTTTATCAGTTAACTTTTGGGCCAAATTTATTTTTAATTCATCTTTATAAATATAACAAACCCTTCATAATCATCCCTTGTGGTAAGGTATTTCCTCCTACCAGAAACAACTTTTGCCCATATGTAGATCAACCCTTCAAGTGTTACTTTCCTTATTAAAATGGCTTAATTTTTATGTACCGAAACAGATGAGAATTAGTGAATCTGATCAAGCCTTCAAAACTCTCATCATTTGGGCAGAACTTTTCAGTGTGGTTCTCCTCATTAAAGGAAGGAATGAGGAGGTAGTATCACTTCAGTAAGCAGGTAGAAACTCTTTGTCTAGTGAAACAAGCCAGTCAAGATGAATGGTAGGAAAACATACTCTTTTTTTTTTTATATATAGAGTTGTTCAAAGCTTATTTATTTTGAGAGAGAAAGAGAGAGAGAGAGAGAGAGAATCCCAAGCAGGCTCTTGGATTATATTCCATGCTATTTGTGCAGAGCTTGATGCAAAGCTCAGTTCCATGAACTGTGAGATCATGACCTGAGCTGAAATCAAGATTCAGCTGCTCAAGTGACTGAGCCACCCAGGCGCCCCAACATATTCACTCTTCAATGTGCTACGTGATTTACTTACATAACTGAGTGGCTACCTGGTGGCTTGAGGAGTATTATTAATTGTGAATTCTGCCAGCATCCTGCTATTCCCCCTCTGCATCCCACATTTCAGTGTCTCTGGCATTTGCTAAGTAAAGTTTTAGTTTTTCATACTGTCCCAATATTTCCACCTCCAAGTCTTTGAATTAATTATCTTCTTTCTTGGGAAGAGTTGGGGTAGGGAAACAATCCAAAGTACATCCTTATAACAAAAGGGATGTTAAGTTACTACATGCCAAGGAAAGTATCTTACAACAATCTTCCAATTTTTCCTGGAAGGAGTCCATGACTACCCTGCATTTGTTGAAAGGTTCTTTCATGAATGATTGCAGCCCAGAATGTCCTAAATGAAATTGTCTGTTCAGATACTGAGTGGTTCATTCAACTCTTATGCAATCCTTTCCAAATTTGCTTATCCTTTCTTTTCAGAAGAGCAATCTTAGAGACATAATCACACAGGGAAGATGGAAATATATTCATCCAACTTGACTGGCCTGGAGGAATTCTCTCAAAATTCTATGATACTCTCTAACTTAAGACTTCAAGAGCAATGTTCCACAGAACATAAGTCCCATAATAGTCATGTTTGGTTTAAAAACTACTTTTGACCTTGTTCTAGTATTTCTTGATTGCTTTGTCCCTGTTTCAAAGTGGGATCATTTGCGGCAAGCTTCATCTTAAACATCTTCCTAGGAAAGACACAAAGAAATGGAAAGACATACCATGCTCATGGATTGAAAGAACAAATATTGTTAAAATGTCTGCACTACCCAAAGCCATATACACAATTCCTAACAAAATACCAATAGCATTTTTCACAGAACTGGAACAAATAATCCTAAAATTTGTATGGAACCACAAAAGACCCTGAATAGTGAAAGCAATCTTGAAAAAGGAAGACAAAACTGTAGGTACCACCACGACAGACTTTAAGTTATATTACAGAACTACAGTAATCAAAACAACATGGTACGCTTGGGTGGCTCAGTCAGTTAAGCGTCCGATTTTGATTTCAGCTCAGATCTTGATTTCAGGGTCGTGGTTTCGGTTACAAGCATGGACTGTTATAAAAACAGACATATAGATCAATGGAACAGAATAGAAAACCCAGAAATAAACCTACAATTAAATGACCAATTAATCTTTGTCTAAGTAGAAAAGAATATGCAATGAGAAAAAAGTCTCTTCAACAAGTGGTGTTTGGGAAACTGGACAGCAACATGCAAAAAAATGAAACTGGGCCACTTTCTTACACCACACACAAAAATAAATTCAAAATGGATGAAAGACCTAAATGTGAGACTTGAAAGCGTCAAAGAACTGTAAGAGAACACAGGCAGTAGTTTCTCTGATATCGGCCATAGTAACATTTTTCTAAATGTCTCCTGAGGTAAGAGAAATAAAAGCAAAAATAAACTATTGGAACTACAAAAAAATAAAAAGCATCTGCACAGCAAATGGAACAACTAACGAAAATGAAAGACAACCTACTAAATGAGATTTTTGCAAATGACATATCCAATAAAGCATTAGTACGCAAAACATATAAAGAACTTATACAAGTCAGCACCGAAAAAAACAAGTAATCCAACTTAAAAATGGGCAGTAGACATGAACAGACACTTCTCCAAAGACATCCAGATAGCCAACAGGCACATGAAAAGATGCTCAACGTCCCTCATCATCAGGGAAATGCATATCAAAACCACAGTGAGAGACCACCTCACACCTGTTAGAATGACTGAGATCAAAAACAGAAGAAACAACAAGTGTTGGCAAGGATGTGGAGAAAAAGGAGCCCTCATGAACTGTTGGTGGGAATGCAAACTGGTGTGGAAAACAATATGGGGTTTCCCCCAAAAGTAAAAAACAGTGCAACCCTATGATACAGGAATCACACTACTGTGTATTTACCCAAAAAACCACAAAAACACTAACTCAGAGGGATACATGCACCTCTGTGTTTATAGTCTCATTATTTACAATAGCCAAATTGTGGGAGCAGCCCAGTGTCCATCGACTAATGAATGGATAAAGAAGGAGTGGCATATATACATACAATAGATTATTACTCAGCCTTAAAAAAAGAATGAAATCTTGCCATTTGTAATGACATGAATGGAGCTAGAGAGCTTTGCTTGCTTATAATGCTAAGCAAAATAAGTTAGAGAAAGATAAATACCACGATTTCACTCATATGTGAAATTTAAGAAATGAAACAGATGAGCAAACATCAGAAAAGAAAGAGAGGAACTAAGAAACACACTCTTAACTGTACAGAACAAACTGATGGTTTCCAGTGGGTGGGTGGATGGGTAAAACAGGAGATGGGGATTAAGAAGCACTTGTCATGATGAGCACCAGGTGAGGTATAGAATTTTTGAATCACTACATGTATATCTGAAACCAATATAACACTGTATGTTAACTATACTGGAATTAAAATAAAAACTTAAAAATAAAACACAAAGCATAGTCCCAGGAGACCAGAAGAACTATTTCATTCTCCTATCGGTGAGGTCCCCCAATCGCCAGGGACCAGGGTAACCTGGCCTGAGCCTCCTGTGATCTGCGTAGAAGCAGGCCAAGCGAGGTTCACGAAGAGGTGAGTACACTCATTAAGGGTCTCTTGGGGGATTCAGCAGGGGCCAGTGGCTTTTTATAGGGAGAAACTAGTTCCTAGCACATAGGACGTAGTCAATAAATACTTATTGAATAGATGGATTGTATGAATGACCATCAAGGAATAAATGAATGAACAGTAGTCAGGAAACGTGGGAAAGCAAGGAAATGCAAGACACGCCAGAGACTGCAAATGCGAGGGAGCCCGTCAGAGAAAGGCAGTCAGAAGCTTTCCAAATGAACCAAGGACCTGGTTGCAAACAAAGCCACGACAAAAATAATCTTGAATCAGAAAACAGCCTGTGTTAATAGGCTGGGTCCTTAAGAAGTGACCAGTAAGCTCCATAAGGTCTAATCGCCATAAAAATAGTGGTAACAACAATAACAACAACAGTAACGGTAATAATAATGAAAGAAGCGCTTCCCATGAGCCACCTATTGTGCTAAGTGCTTTACACAGATTTTCCTTTTTAATCCTCACAATGCTAAGGGGCAGCTACTATTATTATTCCCATCTTACAACTGAAGACACTGAGGCGCACAGAAAGTTGTATATAACATCGCGCCCCAAATCACGCGGGTAGTAGGCGGTGAAACCAAGATTCCAACTCAAGTCTACGGAAGTTCAAAGCCCCTGATGAATCACCGCGTTACACTATCTTCTCTACCTACTTCTGCTGCTTAGCACAGTACCAGGCTTCTAACAGATGCTCGGCACTATGTGTTGAACAGACAGGGAATGTGGGATTATGACACTGTTGGGAAATTGAGCACGTTCCTGACCACATCACTAATTTTCACATATGAACACATGGCCTTACTTTGTTTTAGAAGCTAATACGTGGGTCCGTAAAGGACTGAAACCCCATCTCAAGGCTAGCACAGTATTTTGGCATAGTGTCATCCACCTCAAGCTGGACTGACATCATGTTACTATCATTATCATTTTCTGAGCATCGATAGCATGCTTTATATAGCACATAGATTTAGATCCAAGAACTTTTTCAAATCTAATTAGTGTGACTTACATCCTCTTTTGCATGTTGAGTCACCTCCGATTCTGATGTTCCTTTTCATCTATAATTGCTGAGACCTTTACATTATGCATTTTATGGACTCTCACAGTTAGAAAGGGCTTTAGAGCTACAGCTCATCATTTCATTTTACAAATGAAAAAAAAAAGAAGCCTTGAGATATGAAATAATTCCAACCTACTTTTTTTGAGTACTTGTTAATGTACCAGCCTCTGGCCAAGTGCTGCTCTTACACCCTTATTTAACTTAAGTATGAATATAGATATTGTCACCAACTCTGTTTGGCAGAGAAGGAAACTGGGGCATGGTGATTTGCTCATCTAACTAGTATACGGAAGAGTCAGGATATTAACCCAGGGTCCGGCGCCAAACCTGAGCTTTCAGCCGCATGATGTGTCTATGGCCACCCAACTTATCAGAGGCCGGTGGAGTCTGGGACTCAAGTCTGTGGCATCCTAGACCAGGCTTCACTTCATTATACCACTGTGTTTTCCTTCATAGTTTTAAGTGCAGTGATACTTCTGGACCCATTTTGACCAGCTGAGAACGATGATTTGTAAAATCTGCCGTCTTCAATGTTACTCCTCGTTCTATTGCTTTCTTTCAGAGAAAAATGTTTTCAATAGCTTCCCAAAGTACGGCACGGAGGAACACACGCTCTCCCGACTCAGGGCACAGAGGAAAAGAACAGATTTTTCTCCGTGAGCCATCTCCGGAGTAAGAAGCCACACTTACATAGATAATGGAGAGAACTCCATTATAGTTTTTGGTGGAAACGTTGAGAACGATCTTCAGCTGTGAGACGAGCACTTGGAAGGCAGCAGCTGTTGTGAATCCGCCAACCAAAGGATCTGCCAAGTACCTCACTATGAATCCGATCTGCAAAGCTCCAAATATCAACTAGTATGAGAAGGAAAGAAAAAGTTAAAGTTTGCCTGGAAGAAGGACCAATTCTCTTGAACTGGCAACGAATTAAACCAACCAGCACCAGTAGGGGCGTCGGGGGCTCAGTCGGTTCAGCGTCTGACTTCCACTCAGGTCATGATCTCACAGTTGTGAGTTCAAACCCCATGTCAGGCTCTGTGCTGACATCTCAGAGCCTGGAGTCTGCTTCTGACTCTGTGTCTCCCTCTGCCCCTCCCCAACTCGTGCTCACTTGTGCTATCTCTCAAAAATAAGTAAACATTAGGGGTGCCTGGGTGGCTCAGTCGGTTAAGCGTCCGACTTTCACTCAGGTCATGATCTCGCGGTTCGTGGGTTCGAGCCCCACGTCGGGCTCTGTGCGGACAGCTCAGAGCCTGGAGCCTGTTTCAGTCTGTGACTCCCTCTCTCTCTGACCCTCCCTTGCTCACGCTGTCTCTCTCTCTCTCTCTCTCTCCTAGAAGTAAATAAAACACTTTAAAAAATAATAAATAAATAAACATTAAAAACAAAAACAAAAAATAAACTCAACAGTTAAAACTCTGGTAACCTGCTGATAACACACAGATACTTGTAGGAAACAAATCTGGATTTCCCAATGCCCCTCTACCAATCTAAAATTTGAAAACTGTGGTAATGAGAACCTTGAAGTGTTTCTAGATATGCAATGTGTAAATGCAAAAATCATGTGGCTTATTCCTTTGACTTTCAGATCCCACGGCTCTGCTCACCAGGACACTTTTTTCTCCTTTGTGGGTTCTGCATACTTCCCTTCCCTCATTCTCATTACAATCACACATGGGGCGCCTGGGTGGCTCAGTTGGTTGAGCATCTGACTTGGGCACAGGTCATGATCTCATGGTTCTTGGGCTTGAGCACCATGTAGGGGTCTGGGCTGACAGCTCGGAGCCCGCTTTGAGTACTCTGCCCCCCTCTATGCCCCTCCCCCGCTCACTCTCTCTTTCAAAAATAAATATTAAAAAAATTTTTAATAAAAAATCCGGGTGCTCGCTTTGGCAGCACATATGCTAAAATTGGAACAATACAGAGAAAAAAATGGAATCACACATGTTCTTCTGATTTTCTTCCTGCCTCTAACTTTTAGGATATCTGAACCCCAGTAAGCAAGGTCTTGCTGACTATTTCAGGATCTGACCTAAAACAATATAAGTTAGAAAAGAACCTTGGGGGTCCCATAAATCGCTCGGTTGTGCTTCTAAATGAATCTTTAAGTTCACATGCTTTATACTGTTATTTCATGTTAAAATCATGCCAACCTATACTGTACTTGTAATCCCATTACCTGTATGATGCCAACCAAAAGAGTAAGGGTGCTTGCGATCAATACTCTTGTTGCATCTCTAGCCTCATAGTCTAGCGTGGTGGCATTGAATGCAGTGCCATTACTGCTTGATATGTGAAAGTGCTCGTCAGGGGCCATGCTCAGAACAACAGATCCCACCATTAAACTGACCACCGGGAAAGGCCCTGGGGAAGAAAAGGTCCATCAATTAATACTTATTCATCACACATGTTTAGGTTCACCAACACGTCTACATAGGGAAATTATTCACCGTGGTTGGGAAGATATTGCTTCTTCACAGAAGAAGCTACAAAGCAGACGCTTCAAGGCATTTGTGACCCAGAAATGAGCAAGAGAAACATGTAGATAGGCAATTACAATATAGCATTCCGGATGCTTTGTGAATACTCCAGGGAGGTTGTCTAAGCGGTCTGTGTGTGGTCTTCATGTGAACTGGGGCGGGGGCAGGGGGTGGGGAGCTTGTTGGCAGAGGCGGCAAACAAGCTGGGTGCTGATTTGTTCCATCTCGCTTATTCCATACAAGCTCATTTCCCAGAGCATCCAGTGTCCTGATCTCTGCGGAGCTGAAGAGCTTGATCAATATTACAGGGTCCGAATTAGGATAAACGGCAAAGAGAGCACATAGTTTCTCTTTTTCTCTTTTTGAGACAAATTATTTTTTCATATCACATGCCAGTCTAGAAGATATTATGCTTTAAAAGCATCCCCTTTCACGCATTCACTCCTGATGTTTTTATACGTGATGATGATCCTATCCTTTGGTCACGGAAGCCTTTACCAGTTGGGAGGGCTCATTACCAAAATCCAATAACCTGGAGTGCCTAAACGGATCGATTACCAAAGAGGAAAAAACCCAGCTCCTACGTTCCTCGTGTTGTCAAGCATTTGATACGGATAGATTCTCCCAGGTGAGGAAGTGTTCTCAATTAACTACCTTTTCCTGATCTCCTTCCGTGGACAAGGCAGTGTGCTAGATACTGGGGACAGTACAACTAAGGACAAGGACATGGGCTGGAGGTACGGGACATGGCTGTGTTTGTTTCAAGAGGGTTGTCCAGGTAGACACGTCTAGCCAGCAGATGGATGTAGGCGCAAAATTATCTCAAGTATAAATGTCAAAGTCACAAAATAGCATTAAGACATTCATTTACTAGAACATCCTAGCGAGAAAGAGAATTCAAAATTTAGGAACAGCAGAAAATAAGCCTATTTTGAGCCATACAAAGAAGGAAAGCTAAGCTTAGTTTCCAAATAGTTTTGGCACAAGTTTGCCAGCTTTCCAGTATTAGTGACTTAAAATGAGTATAGTTTTTAATGAAATGATGAATATGTATTTGATGAACATTATTTAGTAAATGATAAGCTAGTCTAATAAAACAGGAGGTTTGAAGACCTCTTGAAGATATTTTCTATTTTGGAAGAGAACACTTTCTAAATATGGACTTACATTTATTACATTTTTAAAAATAAAAATATGCTAGAATTTGAAGGTAGGCTGCCATTTTGACCAACCTTTCAATGTTCTCCTCTTTATTAAAAAAAAAAGAGTTAAGTATAAACTTAATACTGACGAGATGTTACTTTGAAAGCTAAGAAGAACCGCTGCATCATTGAATAGAAAAATCAGGCAAAACATTGAAGCCCTGCTTTCCTGGAAGACATTATTAACAAAGATATGGAAGTATAATACACGTACTATAGCCAAAACACGTTAAACATGAATAAATACAATCATAGTATATGCTTATAATTACCAACTGAGATGTGTCTTGATGTTCCAAAGATAAAATACGTTAGGATAGGGAAAAAAGCAGAGTAGAGACCATATCCAACGGGAACAGCAGCCAGGAGAGCGTACGCCATGCCTGCAAGTACATCCGAAATGATTTAATTCACAAATAAAAGTTGTGGTATTATTTCTACTGTGAAAACAAAGACTTTTTCATAGATAGCCCCACTTGGCAGCTTGCCCTGAGTGGTCTCCTTATATTGCCTGCAGTCTGCGGCTAGACTAGGGTATAGAATATGGTCTAATTCAGCCGAATAATGATTGTGTCCACACACATCACCTACATAAATAAATTGAATTGACAGGTAATCCAATTATCCAATGATCAGATGGGTGGAAAAAAGGCAAGGCAGCTGGTTAAAATTTTTATCAGTTCTGTCAGGGAAGTACGAATCAAAACCAACTGAGATAACACTTCACTCCGATCAGAGTGGCTAAGTGAACAGCTCAGGAAACAACAGAGGTTGGCGAGGATGCGGGCAAAGGGGAGCCCTTTTGCACTGTTGGTGGGAAGGCACACTGGTGCAGCCACTCTGGAAAACAGTGTGGAGGTTCTGCAAAAAATTAAAGAGAACTCCCCTCTGACCCAGCAATTGCACTACTAGGTATTTATCCAAAGGATACAAAAAAGCTGATTCAAAGGGGCACATGCACCCCAATATTTATATTAGCACGATCAACAATAGCCAAGCTATGGAAAGAGCCCAAACATCCATCAACTGATAAAAGGATAAAGAAGATTCACAATGGAATGTTACTCAGTGATCAAAAACAATGAAATCTTACCATTTGCAACCATATGGATGGAACTGGAATGTATTAGGCTAAGCGAAATAAGTCGGTCAGAGAAAGACAAATATATGATTTTATTCATATGTGGAATTTGCGACACAAAACAGGTGAACATAGGGAAGTGAAGAAAACAGAAGATAAAAACAGAAGATAAAAACAGAGAGGGAGACGAGCCCTAAGAGACTCTCAAAGACAGAGAACAAACTGAGGGTTGCTGGTGAGGTGGGGGAACGGGGAGGGGCTTTAGGGGTGATGGGCCTTAACGAGGGCCTCTGTTGGGATCAGCACTGTCAGTGCTGTGAGTGCAAGTGATGAGTCACTAAATTCTACTTCTGAAACCCTTATGACTCTGCATGTTAACTTGGATATACTTAAAATAAAAAAACTTTTTTTAGTGTCATCAATGTGGTCCAAGGTCTCAGAGCAGTTTTTGCACATAGGTGTTTCGTGTGAATGAATGTTCAGAGGGACACAGGCACCGCTGCACTGCCCTCTTCCCCTTTCTTGTTAACAGAAGTTAGATCTTAACAAAGAAAAAGATCACAGTTCTACACAGCAGCAGGCCAGTCGACTCTAGGGGGCTTCCTCCGCGGGGCTGTCTGTCCCAAGCAGCCTCGGGGCCCAGCTGGCGCGCTATGGAGAAGCCTCAGCTTTCCTGTGTACATGGGAATTGGTAGACTGTCACAATGCGTTCTTTCCCCTGTTAAGTACTTCTTAGGTAGTCAGCACATCTTACTTAAATTACCTTCTCACATTTCACTCACTTACGGTGAGAGAAAATCAAGCCCTTTGATCACTGGGCCCTTAACAAAGGATTACAGTTAGAGCAGTTAAAAAAAAGGGGGGGGAGGGGCAAAAACAACCTAAATATCCTAGCTCACAACTGCCCGACATTAGTACTGAATGAATGTCTCAAAAGGGAAAAGTTATTAGCTAAATTATACTTTGCCTACTGTAATTCTATAAATTGAAATTGATGTGATATATAGAAATATGTTTCCTAACACGGAGATGTGGAGAGCACAAAGAAAAAGTGAAGAAAAAGCAGGAATCAAAATCGTGGTAAGCATTCATGCTCCCCTTTTATAAAAGTAAACACGCATGTTGCATGCACAAAAAAAATCTCAAAAGATTTTCAATAATATAGTAAGTCATTTCGATATGCAAAGACTATATAATAAAATAAACGCCCATCTATTCACCATCCAGCTTAAGAAACAAATTGCCTCCTGGCTGGCTCAGTTGGTACAGGGTATGACTCATGATCTCAGTGTTGTGCGTCTGAGCCCCACATTGGGTGCAGAGATTACTTAAAAATAAAATCTTGAAAAACAGACAGACAGGCAGACAGACAATAAGGCAGGAAGGCAGGAAGGCAGGAAGGAAGAGAAAGGGAGAGAGAGAGATGAAGGGGGTGGGGGGGAGGGAGGAAGAAGAAACAAATCACCAGTCAGGCTGCAACTCTGCTTTTCCTCAATCATGTCCTCACCCCCAGAAGGCAACCACTATCCAGAATTTAGTGCTTATCATTTTGGCATTTCTTTATTCTTTTACATAGATCTGCATTTATGTCTAGCAGGCCATTTACTAAGATATTAATGGCTGGTCTACATGGTAGGATCAAAGGAGACTTCTAGTTTGTGAAGAGGTATTTTCTTCATGTTCTTTAGATGTATTTTCCGGTTCCCTACAAAGCGCATTCGTGCATCACCCAACAACCATTGATTACGTACCTACTGTGTGCCAGCACTATTCTAGGGTTCAGGTTGGACAAAAGAAAGTCTCTGCTCTTACAGAATTTGCATTCTAGAATAATCTGTATTACTGATGCAATCATTTTAAGACACGAATGACAACGAGCAATGGCATTACTCACTCATCCAAGAAAATGGAGTAGAAAGATGGCTCCGCAAAGGGAGGGAGGAGCAGGAAATAAAAACAATCTATTTTCTGTGCACTTTTTCCAAGTCTTCCTGAAACTTCACTTTCCTAACCTGGGCTCTGCAGTGTTTACAGGCCTGAAAAAACAGGGACTTTTTCTGTTTCCATACAGTGTCCTACTTAGGGACAACGGCTACCCAAATATATTGTTAACCAGCTTTATTATAAAGGAATTTGGCGCGACAATTTTGAAAGTACACCACTTGTACAGAAACCGAAGCCGTCGGTGTAAGCCGTGGAATGTGTGCTGGGAGCCCCCACGTGCAGGGTGGTGGCGCCTGCTGACAAAGGTGGGGCTCACAAATGTTTGGAAGCATCTAGAAGGCAGAGTAGAAACCAGAGAGCCGTCTCCTTGTAGTTGGGAACGAAGACGGTCCTAAAATGCCTGCGCTGATCGTTTGCTGCCTAGTGGGCATTTTTTTATAACGAAAGTCAAAAAGACCCTGTGATCCTTCTCAACAAGTGGCTTCTCAGTAACTTGAGCCTGACCTGTCTGGTGAGTTGCTCGCCCACTGCTCAGCCATCCGGCCAGTGCTGTGTCCCGAAGCTTGTCGCCACAAGACACAAGAGCACCCCTTCCGAAATCTCAGCTTTGAGTACCTCTACAGGGATACTTTCCTGATTTTTCTAACTAGCTCAGATGTCTTGCTCTGCTCTTCACACTTGAAGTAGCTCCAACTCTATATTTGGCATTTCCACTTAGAGGTCTCACGTATATCTCAAACTTAGCATGTCCAAAAGGACATTCTTCACTTTCCTTCCCAAACTGCCCCTTGGCCAATCTTTGCCATTTTAATAAGTGACATAACCATCTACCCAGTTGCTCAAGCCAACAACCTTGGAGCCATCTGGGATTTTCATCATATTAAACCCATCAGTAGACAGCAGTGGTTGCTGCTCCAAAATATATTCCAGATCTACGTGGATCTCTCTATCTCCTGCGGATCTGGCTCAAACTGACACACCTATCCTCTAGGCTGGGCCGGGTGAGGCGAGCCAGGTGCCTGAGGCACAATATTGAAGGATACCTTCTGAGAGTCAGTGCCTCGCTGTCCATCCTGACGCCAGCCCTGCCCAACCTTATCTCGTTCTGTTTACCAGCCCCCGCCCCTCACACGACACCCACCCACACTAGAATTTTTGTTCCTCCCTTGAAAATACTGAACTCCTTTTGGCCTTGGGCCTTTGGCTGGTAAACTCCCCTTGCTACTCTTGTCACGGCGGTCTCTTCATCCTCTGGATCTCTGACTAAATTTCACCGTGTCAGTAAGGACTTCCTTGACCATTGTCCCTAAAATAAACACTCCAGAGACACCTGGGGTGACTCAGTCGGTAGAGGGCCCAACTCTTGACTTCAGCTCAGGTCAGAATCTCAGAGTCATGGGATTGAGCCCTATGTCTGAGCGTGGAGAGGGCTTAGGATTCTCTCTCTCTCCCTCTGCCCCTCTCCATTTGCGCTCTCTCTCAAAAAAAAAAAAAAGAAATAAAGAAATAAAGTAAATATTCCCTCCTCAAAGTAATCCCTATTATAGAGTATTTATTCCAACACAATGGATTACATCTATCACAGTCTGTAATTATTTTTCTTTTTATCTTTTTATTTATTTAATTAATCCTTCTGTCTACAATTCAAATGGAACTCCATGAGGTCATATCTGTACTGTCAATAAACCATTTAATCCTCAGGGCTGAACGCCTGGCATCCAGAATTGGTTTATAAGTATTATTAAGTGAAGGATGAATGAATGCATACATGAACCAGGTTAGCCTCCCAAAACTTACAAAGATAACTTTATAGAGACAAAAAAATTTTTGTGGATTTCTCATCTATGGAAAAGGAGTTAATAATAATTTTTGTGAGGATTAAGCAAGATAATTGGCCAAAGCCAGCATAGTGTCTCGTACTTGGTAGACAAAATTACAAGTAGGGTTAATTCTTACAAGAAACCTGTCTTGGAAAATTTGGGAGCTATGGAGTTTGAAATACTGTTTTCCACATATAAAGGTGATTCCTTACAGAAATGCAATTCAGTCCCCTTCACCAAATGTTTATGAGGCCATCTATTTTGTGCCAGTCCCTACGCCAGGCCCCAGCTAAACGCACGTTAGCTGGACGGTCCCTGTCCCTCAGGAGTCGCGCGGAACTGCTCCAGCAGAGCTCACTGTGCACACGTTCACGTGGCGTCGTCTAACTAACGGACTGTCCGGCCCAACCTCCTCTCCCACCCTCCTTTGTGACGGAAAACACGGTTGGCCAGGCCGGGGCTTCACACGAGGGACACAGAACACCCTCCTCTGGGGACATCTACCTGGCCTGCTCCGAGTAACCTTGAGAGCTTTTGGGGCAAAGGTTGGCTCATGACATTGCTCAACGACTATTACTAACTTCTAAAATAGTCCATTTCCAAGCCATCTTTCCACACACATCCCCACCCTGACCTACTTCCCATTATTTGCCACTCTCAGACCTCACCTCCACAGAAGGTCGACTCTGACAGCTCAACCTCTAGGAAGCTGTTCCCAATCCCCTAAGGCCGGGCTGTGAGCCTCTGTGCACGCTCACTTCCTGGGCCTTGTTACCCTTGTCACAGCCCTTGTTGAATGGTTATTATCCACTTTCCCAGTGGACCGTGAGCTCTTTGAAAGCAGGTGGTACAGCTCATTCATGGCAGCATACCTGGCGCCTAGAGCATACTAGGTGCCCCGTAAAATTATAATAATAAATGAGACTTGTTTCCATGGTCCAAAGACTTGGTAGAGTTGGGGGGAACAGCTGAAGCAAGCCCATGGGGGTGGGGACAGAGAAGAATGCCCAGAGTGCTATTCACCAACTGTGCAACAGATTTCCAAGAGGTTCATGGAAATAAAGTATGAAGCCAGCTTAAAAACAAAACAAAGCACCTCTGTTGAGACATTTTGCCAGAGATTAAAATAAGGTTGATGGATTAAAAAAAGGAAGGAGGACAGAAAAAAAAAAACACTTATATATAACACTCCAGACTAAAACACTTCCTTCACTTTCCCTTAAGCCATTTAAAAAGTTTTCAATGTTTTATTTATTTTTGAGAGAGAGAGACACACACACAGAGCACAAGCGGGGGAGGGGCAGAGAGGGAGACACAGAATCTGAATGAAGCAGCTCCAGGCTCTGAGCTGTCAGCACAGAACCTGACGCAGGGCTTGAACCCACAAACCCGTGAGATCATGATCTGAGAGCCAAAGTTGGATGCTTAACCGACTGAGCCACCCAGGCGCCCCTCCCCTTTAAGCCACTTTCAAATTGTAGGTCAAGACCCATGTGTGGGATGCAAAATAATTGAATGGACTGCAATGGTCACTTAAGAAATCTCAGCAGAACAGCACAGGACAGAATAGAAACTAGAAGTGCATCACTCGTAGTGGAGGAAGATGAGTATTTCTCAAAACTTGAGATACGTGTGTGTAGATCGAGATGTAATGTGTATTTCTTACTGTGAGTTGTAGTCAATAGAGACTGAGAAGCCACCGCCTAGCTGCTAGGGCTGTAGCGGGCGCCATGCCGCGGGGGAGGCAGCAGCGTCTCCCAGGAAGCGAGCTCGAAGGAAGAGGAGGGGAGAGGCGAATCGAGGCACTCAGGGCTCTAGACGAAAGATGAAGACCTCGAGGGGTCAGCAAACCTTGGGCACAGCCGCCCGGAGTCAGGAGGAAGGTATGGCCTGGAGACCGTCACTCTCGCGGAGCCGAGTCACCCACACTTACCCTGCAGAGTGCCCACTAGCCCAGTACTGACTCCCGAGATGATGTCACTGAGGAGCCATTCCTTGATCCGGTACTTGGGGAGCCAGTCCAGGATGGGCAGGAGAGTCTTCAGCACGGCCAGGCCTCTCTTCCTTGAACAACTGTCAGAAGGCAAGAAATCGGAGTTTCTAGTCCCATCTTGGCCATGACCATGGGCTGGACCCTGCTGATCTTCATAACCATTTAGAAAAAGAGTAAGAATTGCATGGAAAATACTAAGCCTCAAGCACTTACCGTGCTTTTGCCAAGAACTCTACCTACCCTTTTAAGTCGCTGCAGCAGAAAACAGAGGATTCAGTGTCCCTTCCCTCTCCCACCTTTGTAATCCTCTGAGAAAATATCCCTACACAAGGACCCATTTTCTAGACCAGCCACAGGTCGAGCAATGTGGAGGCTCTAAATGGAGATTAATTTTCAGACTTCTAACCCAGGCGCCTTCTCCTACTTCTTTTTCTTTAAAGGAAAATAAACACGCTCTATTTATTTTGGCAATACAAGCTGGGCGCCAGTTTATACAAAAAAAAAAAACAAAACTTAACATGAAAAATTTATACTTTGTTGTACCGTGCTACTAAGTATTTTTTCAATTCAGCACCCAAAGACAAGAGAAAACAAATATTAAGAGTGTATGGACATTATTTGACTCTTCATTCAACAAAATTCTTTCACTTACGTTTATGAGACAATTGGAAATGTTGATGTTTTTCATACTAAGGAATTATTTTTTAGGTGTAATTATTTTTTAGGTGTAATAAGGGAATTGTGGTTATTTTTTCCTACAGAGTCCTTAGAGATATAAAGTGAAATATACAGACAAAAAGATACACTCTGTGGAATCGTTTCAAAAAAAAAAATAATAATAATCACAGAGTCGGGGCCAGCGGGTGGCGGTAGAGCTTGGCTGCTGAAGCCGGGTGCTGGGGAACACCTCGGAGGGGGGCTTCGGGACACGACTCGGTCTACTTTTACATATACTTACGTTCTGTAATAAAAGGATTTTTAAAAGAAAGAAAATCTGTCACCAGTTGACAGTTCTCTAGCTGGTTTCGATGGCGATGTCTCCTTACGGGGGGCCTGCTGGGGTCTGGGACGTGAGAGAGGCCCCCCTCCCTGGGGGACCCCCTCCCTGGGAGACCCCTTCCCTGGGGGACCCCCCTCCCTGGGGGACCCCCCTCCCTGGGGGACCCCTTCCCTGGGGGACCCCCCTCCCTGGGGGGAGGCCTTGGCTCCGTGTCTGAGCGGCGTCCTTCCTAGATGAGCTGGGCCTTTCAGGGGCCCCTGCTCAGGTGACGGGTTTACCCGTGAACTCTTCCATGGAGCCCCTTTCTTCTCCACTGTTTCCAGCCTGACCTTCGCAAGAAGGCCGCAGGAGCCCGGCGTGCCCGGCGTGCCCGGTGTACCCCAAAGCGCGCTCCAGGTACCCTCACGGAAGGGGCGAGCGCGCGACGGGGCTCTCGGAGCACGCGCTCCCGGGATGAGTTTCCCGGACTCGGTCCGTGCGGACGGCAGGAGCCGGGGCCGCCCTGAGCCCGCCCTCGCCCCCCGCGCGCCCTCGCCCCCGGCCAAGCCCCGCGTCCCACGCCCCGCGCGCCCCCCGCGCCCTCGCCCCCGCCCCGCGTCCCCCGCCCCGCGTCCCCCGCCCCGCGTCCCTCGCCCCCCGCGCCCCCCGCGCCCTCGCCCCGCGCGCCGCCCTCTACCTGCAGCCCGTGGCCAGGCCCTCGCGCAGCGTCCTGCGCTCCTGCAGGCGCCGCTCGCAGCGCTGCTGGAAGGCGAGCTCGCTGTACACCGGCCGCGACACCACGTAGCCGCAGCCGTACTCGGGGGGCGGCGGCTCCGACCCGCTGCCGGGCGCTGCCATGGCCTGCGAGGCGGAGGCGGGGAGGGGGGCCGAGACAGGGGACAGGGGGACGTTAGCGGCCGCCCGGCCCCGCCTGCGGCCGCCGATCCCGGGGCGCACCCGCCTGCAGCGGGGCGCGTGGGGGCCGCAGGCTTCGAGGGACGCGAGGCCGCCCCGGGGTCTTCAGGCGCTCGAGCGCGTCCCCTCCTCGGGCAGCCGGGGCGCTGTCCGCGTCCTGAAGCCTCCCCGACCCGGGATGGACCCGCAGCGCGTGCGGCGCTGGACGGGACTCGGCTCCCCTCTCTGGCCGCTCGCGACCCAGGGCGGGACCCCGGCGCGCCCCGGAGAGGAGCAGGGGCCCCCCGGCCGGACGCGGGACCCCAGGCCACCGCCCCGGGCCCGAGGCCGCGTGCGCCGCGGGCGGCTCTCCCGGGGCAGAACCTCGGGGACGGGGCGCAGGCCTGGGGTCCCCGCTCCGTCTCCGCCTCTCAGGCAGAAGGCTGCGCCGCCCCCGCGCGCCCCGCGACCCCAGGCGGCCGGTCCGCAGCCGGCGCGGCCCCGGGAGCCGAGGCGCAGCGCGGTCAGGCCGGCTCACCTGCTCGGCCCCGCCCGGAACGCCCCCGGGGCCGCGGGTCCCCCGCCTTTATAGCGAGCGCGCCGGAGGCCGGGGGACGCGTTATTTATGCAGCAACAGAGACACCTCCGTCGAAACGCGGAGCCCAAAGCCGCCGTTTCCCGCCCGTCCATCCGACCGGGAAGGACACGCTACGCCCCTCCCGCTGCCTTCCCTGCCCGACCCGACCCGGAAGGTCGGAGGCCTTACTGGGTGTCACCAGGGTCCCCACCCACCGCCCAGCTCCCGGGCCGGCTGCGCGGGCGGGCGCGGGACGGGGAGCCGCGTCGCGGGGGGCAGGGCCCTGCGTGGGAACGCGGCCGCTGGGACCTTGACCCTGACCGTGGCCCGGCTTGTGGGGGGTCCAGACGCACCGCCGGCGGGCACACAGCTCGCCAGCGCCCTGGGCGCGGGAGGGAAGGGGCGGCGGCCGGGTTTGTGTTTCACGAACGCCCTGCGTTTCTAGAAAGGGTTTCTCCAGAAGCACTCGGTGGCCGCTGGTTAGAGACGGTTCCTAACTTACTCATAAAGTTTAGATACACTGTGTCCGCGCTCTTCCCTCCGCGTGCGCCCGTGTGTTAAGTGTCACAACCCAGGCGTCGGGGGGTCACTCCCTCCCTGCCGACCGCCTGGGCGGTTGACGAAGGAACCAGCTGGGTTAGAGGGGAGCGGAGGCCGGAAAGAGGTGAGGGGCAGCCCCTCTCCCACCTCAGCACGCTTCCGGGTCTTCTGCTGGATCAGCCTTGCTAAAACTGACCGATGCGGGTGAGGACGAAAGACCGAGAGTTTAGTAAACAGGAAGGTTCTCCCATCATCAGTGTTCTGAGCTAAATGCAGAAGAGAGGTCAAAACTGTGCACCTTCTGGGCACCGGCTCGTGGCTGCCCACCTCGCTGGAAAACCCAGCCCGTGACCCTTCTTTCAGCTCCAGGAAACAGAACTCCCCTCGGGAGAACCCCGATGTGAATTCCCCGGAACTGTATTCCGCAAGGTCTGAACATGTGCATGTTCTTAATAAACAAATCAGTCAACAGCTTTCAGAAACTTCCCTGACCCTTAAAGAAGGTTAAAGGATGCCTGGCTGGCTCAGCCAGAAAAGCATGCAACCAGCCCTGAATCGCAGGGCCCCGAGTTCAAGTCCCGCCTTAGATGTGGAGATTACTTAATAAACTATAAATCAAGTTAAGAATGATTGAAGAAGGGAACCAAAAATAAAAATCCAGATCATGAACTTGAGAATTCTATCCACTCACAGGGGAGGTTTTGCTTGTACAGTAGATCCCTGAGCAACACAGGTGTGAACGGCGCAGGGCCACCTATCTATTTTTTTCTCATAAGTACAGTACAATACTGTAAACTCTTCTTTATGATTTTCTTAATAACATTTTGTTTTCTCTACCTTACTTTATTGTATGATACATAAATCACACAAAATATGTGTCAATAGACTATTACATGTTGCCCATAGGTAAGATTTCCAATCAAGAGTTAGCCTTTTTCGCAGTCAAATTTCTGGGAAGTCAAAAGTTATTCGAGAGGGGCGCCTGGGTGGCTCAGCCGGTTAAGCGTCCGACTTCTGCTCAGGTCATGATCTCACGGTTGGTGGGTTCAAGCCCTGCGTCGGGCTCTGTGCTGACGGCTCAGAGCCTGGAGCCTGTTTCGGATTCTGTGTCTTCCTCTCTGCCCCTTCCCCACATACTCTGTCTCTCTCTGTCTCAAAAATAAAGTATAAAAAAATTTAACATAAGTTATTCGAGGAGATTTGACTCCACACTGTTGGAAACCCTTAACATTCACGCTGGTCGAAGATCAGCTGTATATACCAGTGGTTCTTAACTAAGGGCTATTTTACCCCTCAGGGAACATTTGGCAATGTCTGGAGACATTTTTGTTGTCACGCCTGAGGGTACGCTACTGAAATCTAGTGGATGGAGGCCAGGGATGCTATTAAACATCCTATGATAGGGGTTTACTGTCCCTCTAAAGTTCTGTATGTTATTCAAAATATACATCTATTAATAACTTGCTACATGTACTAGACATGTACTAAACATCTCTCTCCATATATATGCATATATGTGTGTCAATAGAGAGAGTGTACAGGCATGCACAGAGTGTACTTTCTATAAGTAACATATTATTGGATGTGTAACTCAACCACACTGAGATAGAGGCAATATTTGTCTTCAGGTCGATTCTGAATGTGTCCGTTCTATACACCCTCACACATAGCTTTAAGTTCCAGTTAAAACACTATCATCTCCGGGAACATTCCTTGATGCTCTCAGCCAGAACTAATCCAGTCCCTTTTCTGAATTCTCTTGGCCCCTTATCTGATTCCCTCTTAAGGTGCCTTTCACTATCTACCTTCTTATAGTACTGTAATTCTGTTTCCATACAAGTCTTATCTCCCTCACTAGGCCAAAGCTTCTTCTTTTTTTTTTTTCCCCAGGCCAAAACTCCTTAAAGGCAAGCACTATGCCTCCCTCAACAGGGAGAATTATTACCTTCTACCATGTTTTCTAAACAGATAAACGTAGACCTCAAACACATTTCTTTTAAAGACTGAAGATTAAGTTATATATTGGTTTATTCCTTTTTAAAAAAAATTAAGTCTATGTCACTGATATCTTCTAGGATGCCTAGAATCTCATATCATCAACTCATATTGTTGGTTCCACAGTAACTCACCTAGATGACTCACAATTCTTAATTTAATTAATTTGGAGATTTTACACAAATATAAATATAACCCATACCGCATTCTGGAATTTCTGCTCCCAGTTACTTGCTATTTTGAACACTTTTAGTCTGGGACAGTCAGCTCTGCGGACCACTTGTTTTGGAACTTCGTGGTGGTTTGGGCAGCGGTGGTAGTGATCCAGGGGAATAGCAAAGGTTTCAGAAGGACAGAGGAGAAAATAGGAGGGAAGGGTGCAACTTTCTTTGGAGAATAGAATTATTCTTTGAACTGCATCTTTCTACATAAGACTTTGGTTTAATAATCATCACACCAGGGGCACCTGGGTGGCTCAGCAGGGTAAGCGTCTGACTCTTGATTTTGGCTCAGGTCATGACGCCAGGGTTGTGAGATCAAGGGCCCCGTGTCAGGCTCTACATTGGATGTGGAGTCTGCTTAGGATTCTCTCTTTCCCTCTACACCACCCGCCCCCCCTTCTCAGAAAATAAAAGTAAAAAATAATCATCACACCATAAGTGTTGCATATACCTGGATGAAGATACTACTTTCTTCTGTTAAATGCCATTTCTAAGGAAGAAATAAATGGTGCATGGACAGAATAGCGTCTCCTTTACAGGTTTCTATAAAAGTAGGGAGTTGCATTTCTCATAGGTCTGAATTTGGCTGTCTTTTAAAAACAGAGAAGAGTAGGATGTGGTAACAGCTTGCTCTCCCTGTCCAATTTACTTGTTATATTAAACACCTCAGATTACTCACGTAGGCTTTACAAATCAAGCCTCACCTGGTTCACACAGAGGTGGGTGGTTCTTATTTATCAGAATTTAATCATTTCTAAGGACTTCTTTCCAAAGAGATAATGTGTCACTTCAAAATAAATGTCAATGTTATTATCACTTTCCAGCACTTACTTAGCCATTAATGCTGATTTAAAATGCATTTCAGGGCACCTGGACAGCTTGGTTGGTTGAGTGGCCGACTTTGGCTCAGGTCATGATTTGTGGTTCGTGAGTTCGAGCCCTGCGTTGGGCTCTTTGCTGTCAGCTTGGAGCCTGGAGCCCGCTTGGGATTGTGTGTGTGTCTCTCTCTCTGACCCTCCCCTGCTCACTGTCTCTCTCTCTCTCTCTCAAAAATAAATACACATTAAAATTTTTTAATGCATTTCTTATTTATGATTTAGGTGTTGGAGTGTAAGACAAACTCCATTATTGGATCTACACATTGATTCATTCAAAGATTTACTCAGCACTTATTAGTGCTGGCCAGGGCTCTAATGATAAACGAAAGAAGCATGGGCACTGGTCTCCTAACCGTGGGATGCAGCAGACATTCATCAAATGGTCACACAATGTATACACTATTTCTCTGATTCTAAAATGCACATTTTCCACATCTTATCAGGACTCATCTTACAACTGATGATGTGCTAGAATTCAATTAACAGTATTTTCTGGCCTTTTTTTTTTTTTTTTTTTTTTTGCAGTTTTTTACTCTTTTCTGGTCTAGAGGGCAGATTTGTGGTATAAATTTTTACTTTTTTCTTTGCAGACAATTTAAACGTTCTCTAACAGAAGAAGTACAAACTAATGGAAATGTACAAACAATGCCCCGAAAAATCTGTTTTCAAAAGCAACCTAGATTCTGATGTTTATCATCTTCTACCTTTGAACTGTAACATGTGTAGCGTATTTATTATCTTCTTTGGAAGAACTGAATGGAGTCACTTCTGCTTGGAGGCAGCACTTGGGACCCACTGTTTCCCACATTTCAAACAGAAACATTGTTCATGTTTTAGGCTGGGGTTGATGATGGGTAGAAACTCTGAAAAATCAGCTCCCTGGAACAGTGGTTATTTTGACTGGGAAAACCACTCTAATCCTGAGCTTTTATTTTCCTTTTGCTTGCTGACTTTCTCAAGACAA